AACTTTCTGAGTATCCGTTTTCAAGAATCGTTTTCTGCAGTTGTTAGAGTTCTGATTCGACTGTTTCAGGAGAGCAGATCGTACTCTAGCTGCTAATCCCTGGACTAGATTTCGTTTTATATTTACGGGGAAAAACTGTGAAAGTCGTTGTATTGTCCCGTCCAGGTTTTCTTTCGGAATACCCTACGCAGGATCGATCCATCATCGTGCCTTCGTATAAGGACATCAAGGAATGCAATTTCATTATTAACCTCAGTTTCTGCAAAAAACCTGAGCGCTGGATGCACGCTGTTAAACTTCCTGACCATGGCGTCAGTGTCAGTGTTGGAGTCTGTCAGACAGAAGGTTTCGTCCACATACCGACCGTAAAATGCAAGGTCATTGATGGTATCTCTTAGGCTCGTTCTCTCTACCCCAAAATAAATAAATTCTATATTAAAGGCTGAAGGGGCCCTTTCATTAAAAAAAATTTGTACTGTGGTAAGAATAAATGCAAAGTTGGTAATTGGAGTCGCGCGTATAACAGCATGAATGCGTACTATGCTATATATATATTCAGTCAGATCCGATTTACAACGGACCCTTTTTTTAAATAATAGTCAACAATATTAGGTTAATGTGGTAAATGATATATTCGAGAGTATTTTCACCTAATTTGCTTGGTAGCACCGTTTGATATTAAGATACAGAAAAGAAAAACTCGATAGCTATCTGTTATTTCGGAATAGGGAGTAGCTTCCGTGGATATGACACGAAATTAGATAATAAGATACAGTATTTAAACAACTGAGGGTACCCTGGGAAATATTCAGCTTAGAAATGTGCGTGTTCCTATTAGATGACATCGTTGAGCGTTGGTCCTATTAATACCGCTCTCGTAAACAGCATTTCACAATGATTTTGGTGTTAAGATTGCTGCTTTTACGGAATATTGTGCGCTGTGAGAAAAATTTCAGTCTAGCCCTGAAAAATGACAAAACAAGTCACCTTTTGGATAATAATTTGGACGCTTGGTGTATTCAGTATCGTGCTATAATGTTTGCGGAGAGCATAGGCTATAATACTGAAAGATGGTTATGAAACTTCAAACTCCGGAAGTCGTACCTTGTGTTCTACCTTTAATCACCACGACTTTCCGATAAATCAAATTAATTGATGCTTCTTATTTACTGGGGCTCGCAAAACGAGACTTCTAGCAGCTTGGCTTCGTAATCCTGTTTCAACAGTCATTGGAATCGGGGTTCTCACAAGTGCTAGGCTTCCGAAGTAGGTCATAGAAGGAAGGCTTTGACACGAATTCATAAGAGGGTGATCAGAGGATATTACTTTCCCTCCATTTTACGGTCAACTGTTTCTGGCCCTTTGTTCCCAATTTCCCATACTTTTGGTTTGCTTACTATAACGGTGACTGTCTTGAGCTCACGCACACACACACACAGTATGTGAGACTACTGCTGAATCATGCGTGGCATTCGTTTCGTGTCGAAGCATTTTTTTTTGCTGCGTCATCAATCGTTGCCCCACAACTCGGTCGCCCACTTCTGCCCCTCTACCCGGTCGCCCACCGCTTTGCTGGCGCACAATTTGGACTTTGGTTGTAAAAGGGGGCAGTCGCATTTTGCGTGGG